TTGGAGAGAATTGTTCATGCTGGTGTGGATAAAAATATTGTGCCTTAACTTCATTGCTGAAAATGCTTATGAGGTGACATGCCCTGCTAAAAGAGATGTCACGTTAGCAACACTAACAGGGTCCTGCAGACGCACTGGAGCTCTTGGTCAGCTAATCCCATACATTACAATGACTGCAAGATTAAATTTGTCACTGGAATGCTAGTAGTGAGTAAGAAAGCAGAGTTTTTAAATGTTTCCTTTTCAACAGATGCAAAATGATCTAAAGATATTTTTAAAGTTACTAGAATAAAGAATGCACAGGCCAGCAAATGAACTCTTGCTAGTTTCCAAGTCTTGCTAAATATAACACTCTTCCAAGAATTCGGGTAGCAGCTAAATACATCTAACTTTCCTGAAAAAAACCCCAATACATAAAAAGTGAGTGAAAGGAGGCTGGTGGTGTTTCAGGAATCAGAAAAGAAAAGGTGATGGTCTGTCTACTCCCTGGAGGCATTCAAACCAGCACCTCCAGAGGTGCAGCCTCTTAGCCATGAGGCTGCAGCCTGTTTGTGTGAGACCTGCACCTCCCCTGCTGAAGCTGTTCAACAATTCAGAAAACAATTAAATCAAGACAAGGAGCCAAAATCAGCCATCTACTCAGGAGGATGGGGCAGGTGGTTGGCTTGGTTTCACCGTCTCTCAGACTACTCAAGTATTTTTATCAGGTGTCTGCCTAGCTGCCCAAACACTCCTTGAGGACTAGTTAGAGCCCACTTACTCTGCCCTTCCATGTGTTCAGCCTGCCATGAGAACCACTAGGTGACAAATTTGTGTTCATTCATGATTGCCTTTTCTGGAAGAGCTTTGATTCTTTTGCCAACTCTTACGGACATTTTTTGGTTTTTTAATTAAGTTGTCTATGTCTGCTGTGGTATTTCGTGCAATGCCTGGTCCTGTAGACATGTGTGAGATGAGCAGCTGCCAGGCTTGCTCCCTCAGGGAATATAGGGGAAGAATTGCCAAGTTTGTGGATTCAGGCTGGGTTTAGGACTGAGATAGATGTAGAACTGTGCAGATTCACCGAGTCTCAAACAGTCCTAGGCATGTACAGAAGTAGGAGTCCAGGCACCTGAGGTACCTGATTACAGGAAAACATAGCTGTGTATAGCCTTTAGCTGCCTGAAGAATCAGGAAAGAGAGGCAAGGTTTGAGGAGCATGTGCTTGGGCTTTGGTATTTGCATCGGACACAGTGTGGGTCCAATTATGTCCAAAAATCCAACTGTGGGTACTTAGGCCTTTACTGGAGTCACCACTTAACTTCTTTGCAACTGTTAACCTATCTTTTAATTGGAAATTATTCACAGTTTTTTAAACCTCCAGATCAAGAATCTCCAGATGCACAACAAAATAGACACAAAGTGGTTTTTACAAGCAGCTGATAATTTAGGATAGGTTAATGAAGGCCTTATTTTCAGCTTTCTGGATAGTTCTTGTTCTTTTAAGGGATTATAGTTTGCTGCTGAGAATGTAAAAACACAGCAGAAAATAGCCTCAACTACTAATTGTTGTATTTTTAACTGAAAGAAATGTATGTCATTATGGCACATATTGCTTGCCTGCTGGATAACTTTGCACTCAGGAGAGTCCCTGAAAAGAAATCTTCCAGGACACCATAACTTCAGAGCAGTAACCACCATAGAGGCTGCAGCAAAGCTGGAGACACTGTGGGATTAGCAGGATGAAGCTATGAAGAATCAGAAGCAGGACATACTTTTCTGCTTTTTTTAACTGTGCACACCTACATTACCCATGGCTGCACAGGGTCCTGTGGCAGCTCAGTCTTAGGGTTTGGGAACTCAACCAATAGCCAGGGTCTACACATGAGCTGTGACAGCCATGCTTATCTGTTTTATCAATGACTTCTAAAGAATTTACTTTTTTTTTTTTCTTAATTTAGTCAATGCTTTATGCAGCATTAAAAATTGGTTTCTTTGATTGCTGTAACAGCTTTCAGGCCCATAAATCTTACAGCCATTGCACTACTCGTTGGAATCAAAATTTTGCAATTCTCTTAGTCACTGTTTGCAGCATTGTTTAAGAAAGGGAAAAAATAACCAATGGTGAATTATGAATGCTTCTCTGGATGATCTAACCTGCTCTTTCATCAGTCTGTTTTGTCCATTTAGAAATATAAAATGTCACAGTGTGATATTTTATATTTCCAGTGTAGAAAGATGTTCTCCATTGAGCTGAGGAATCAGAACCTCATTTCCCTATACAGGCTATCCCACTTGAATTTCAGACACTTTTAGAGAACTTTGGGGCATTAGAATATGGATATTGCACTGAAAGAACTTCTAGGGTTTGGGTTTTGGTTTTTGTTTTTTTGTTTTGTTTTGTTTTGTTTCTCAAAATAAAGAATTAGTTAAAAGATGTCTGAATTCAGCATCAAAGCCATAGGCACCTTCTCTCATCCAGCAAATATTCCCAGACCCAAAAATCCCTGTCATCTGTAATGGAGATCTTTAGTGGTTCCCAGGAAAGTAACATTGTTGTATGGTGGTTCAGGTTCAGAGCAAAGATCTGGAGTAAAAGGAGTCAGTTTTCATACATTTAATGTACAAAAAGCTAAACACTAAAAGCTGAACACTGTTGTTTAAGCTAAACAACACTGGTTAGGGAAGGAGGGAAAGTTTGAGACTAGTAACAAGTAGCGTATTATTTTTTTCTGTGCTTCCTCCTTTGCCTCACTCAGTTTACCATGAAATTTAGCCACTGACTCCCACCACTCTTCTTCTTGGAGAAAACAGTAGGATGAAGAAATGGTGATTAATTGTGAAAGACAGCCATGCATTACATTTGGAGCTGCATTCCGTGTGCTTTGGAACAAAATTAAAAAGAGGTGATTCAGGTCTACCTAATCTTTAAAGTCTGAAATCATTCTCCATTATCACCATCTCTACCTCTGCTCCACATACAAATACAGATCTCATTAATAAAATGGGACTTTTGAAAGCTCTTTTAGTTCCAGTTGATAATTCTACTGCCATGACACTCGTCTTTAATGTTTGTTATGCTCCCATGTGTTGAACACATGCTTAGCAGCTCTCCCAACCATCAGGATTCATGTAATCACAGCAAAGCAGTCATCATCATAAATAAAGCAAACATGACAACTGAAACTACGTATTTCCTTCTCATAGTAAACTGGGATGATGAACTGGAGCTCAACGCCATTCTTCACCTAACAGCAAAAGGCTTGAGCAGGGTGGACCTAGACCATGACTTGGAAAATGGTTTATTTGGCCTTTTCATTCTCTTGTATTCTTGTATTGGCTTAGTTCTCAATCCTGTGGTAGTCAGCCACATTCATGAGTGATAGGAACCTTCATGATGACAATTCCACATCCTTTGCTTACAATTGTTTTTAGTTTTTATTTAGTTTGCACTTAAGCAGGTCACTGTCAGTGGTTGAGCCCTTCAAGGGAACTTGTTCTTTGCTCATGGTTGGAATGTGCTGTTGACCCTAGGTATAACAAAGTGGCAGACCTTTTAAGGGACACAGTAATTCTTTATTTAAAAAGTGTATTTACTCTTTGAAATTATTCCTGAATATGATTCTTTTTAAAGAGTATTGAAGGTAATTGAATGCCTTCAAACAAAACTGAATTTTTAAGTGTATGTATCCATATGGCACTGGAGTCAACATGTTCTGTTGGGTTTTTGTTGTGGCTGTCTTTTCTTTAGAGCATGTCACATTGCCATCCTATTTGCATCAAACATGACAGAAATAGAATTCTATCTTACTGTCAGTTCCATTAGCCTGAAATGCTGGATTCAGGTGTCTCAAAATTGCAGATAATGTCCTCTCCCTGACAGCCTTGATAGCTTCTGGCCTGGATGGAGAGCTATGTTAAATCCTACAGATAGTGACACTTGGCTAATAAAATAGTGAACATATTCATCTCCTTTGTGGATCATTTGTCCTTTGTCCTTTCCTTGGACATCTTAAATGTTCATGGGATAGTGGTAGCATTCTCTGAATCTCCCCACCTTGCCCTTCTCCTTCCATAAATCTGAGTGTCTGACTTCAAAAAACTGAAAAGTTGTCTTTAATGTCTTTCTCCTACAGATCCAGGCATTGTCTATTTGCATAAAAAAAAAAAAGTAATTGCATAAAAATTCTATCATATTACAAGTGACAGAGCATTACAGATGAGGTGAGGTGAGAACTGGTTTAGTGAGCTTACCACCAAACAGGCCAGAAGATTCCAAGTTTGTTTTGGGTTGATGTTGTTATGGGCTTTTTCAAAAAAAATTTAAATGTTCAAAAATTAGTTTCTTGAACACCATGAAAATTAAAACAAAGCCTTTTCAACACTTCCATAGAGCTACTGTTTAGAGACCTGATTTGAAGTCTCCTCTTAATGGTGAAAAAGCTACTTGTCTTCTTCCCCAAGTACTGACATTTGGAAACAAAGGAGCTTGAGTGTTACTTTGCTGGCAACAAAGCCAAAAACCCAATTGACTTGGTTGTCATCTTTCTGCCTGTGCCCTTCCCCTGTCTAACAGATAAGATAGGCTTTGTCACATTTTGATAAAATAAGCTTCAGGTCAACTTTACTTGCAATCCTCTAAGTGACTCTCGGGACTCTGGGAACTGTGAACTGGCACCCAGCTTCTCCGGGTGGCTCCTGAGTTGCTGCATAGATAGCTGCATGGTTTTATTGCATTTGGTGAATGCAAATGTGACAGCAATTAGAAGCATATCACTATTTCCCCTCCTTAGCAATTCAACAATAATTTGTATATTATTTTATTCTGTGGGTTAACATCTTTATAGTCTTTACTAATGAGTTTATTATTAGACTGTACTGTGTTTTAAAAAGTGTATTAGTGTGTGTGTACATGCACCCCCAGAGTAAGTTTTGTGTCACAAATCAGATACTCCCCTCAGTTACGCATTGCTTTTTTTAAACTAGAGTCATAAATATTTCTTTACCAGACAAAACCAATGTTTCAGGGCAATACACTTTATTTTGTATAGCTTCCTTCAAGCACATTGTGTCTCTAATGTGTTAGAGATAATTAACACACTTGCAAATTTTAAAATACTCTAAAAGGTTTTAATTTGATGGAAATTCTAAACAACACTATCGATATACATGCTCCTTAATTCACATGCATCATAAAGGTAAAAGGACAATTATGCCTGTGCAGCTACTATATAGTTTCTTGAATTTCTACATTCTTGTAAATATTGGTTTGGTGAACTCTGAGTGAGGAGGGATAGTTGGTACCTTTGTTCATTGATTTTGAGACCAGCACTGTGATTATTCTGTTTAAAAAACTATGTGTACATGTTTGGACTGTTGTTGGTACAGTAGGAGGGACAAGGATTTTTCTTTGCTTTTACTTTTTTTTTATTTTAATCAATACGGTCTAGCTAATCCCAGTATGAAAGACAGCTCTACCATGAAACAGAAATTAGAATAATGAATCTCATTATCATGGTGCAATAGCTATATTTTATTAACATTTCACAATAGTACTGCTGAGTCTTCCTGGTGAAACACTCAAGCTGCCTGATGAACTCAGCAGACAGCTGCTCACCACCACACACTTGACTTGTTCCAGCAGACAGTTCCTGTAAGACACATCATTGTTTTGTGCAGTGTAAAGATTTTTAAAAAAAAAAAAAATTGCTTGCATTTAAGGAAAAAAGCAGGTCTGAACTGTGCTATTTTTCCTTTGCCTGCACTGTGCAGATCTATCATACACAGGAGGGCAGCTTCTCTGGCCACATGCAGTCTGACAGGTATCCCTGTTCTGGCCAGTTTGCAGTGCTGGATTTCACATCCCCACACAGGCTGGAGTGACCTGGAGAGCTTCACAAAATTACATGTGGGATTATTGATACTATTAGGCAAGCAATGTCTCTTTTTCCATCCCAAGCCCACTATTTACTGTACACCTCTTTAACTAAGCACTTGTCCTTAGTAAGGGCTTAAAAAATGAAATAAATCGCCAGCATGGTTGTTTCATTTTTGTGATTCAAATGGATTTTACTGGAGCTATAAGGACAGAATGTATCTCAGAGTACTCTAGAAGTATTGGTGGAACAGTCAAGGATCTAAAGAATCACCAGTCTCTTAGGAATGGCAGTCTAGCCTCCAGCAGCCTGGAAGCCTTGTAGCTAGAGCAGTGGCTGGCAGCAGGGTTAGATGGGAGGAATGACCATTGCTCACACTCTGGGCCACTGGGCATCAGCAGGTTTTAATGCCAGATTTATGCCACGATATAGAAAGACTCTTTGTCGGTTTTAGAGCAATCTTTGTAGCTTTGCAGTTGTCAACACCTGTGTGAAGACTAAGCAGGAGTGCAGATAAAAAGAGTTAGCTCAAGACACAGAGAATGCAAGTTCTGTCACATGAACAGCTAGACTGCTCCCATCCTGTTCCAGCCTCTGGAAGCCAAGGGCACTCTGTGATTCATAGAAATTCCTCATTTTTGTGTCATGTGTGAGTATAAATCCCACTTCATAACATACTATTCAGTTTTCTCTTCAAGATTTTTTTTGGAAAGGGAAATATGATGAAGGACATGATAGTCCATTCCAAAATATTAGAATTTTGCAATCCACTCATAAATGGCATGAGAGAGCCAGTTCTCTACATAAATAATTTACTACAAATTACTAAGTGGTGAGACTGAAAAAGCAAATGCCATTAACAGTCACATCTGTGCCATCCTGTTAAATTCAATTTTATGTAGCTAGGAACCTTAATTTCTTATCTGTTTTTTACTTTTTTTCTAAGAGACCATCATTATTTTTTTGTGTCTTTCTACAGGATGGGAAACTACTTTTTTTTCCCCTACAGATTTGTAATATTAGCTATAAGCTAATGCTGTTTTCCATAATTCCAGTGGTCCATTCACATGGCTTGAAATATTCAGGTGTATTCTCATCTTTAAGAAAGGGAGAAGCCTGGAATATAAAGTTATTTGATATCCTAGGGGCAAGAAGGCAATTTAAGCTTCCCAGAACAACTTCAAGAGCAATGACAGCTACCAGTGTTATTAGAGGAACATATTTTTTCAGAAGATCAACTGTAATAACCTTCATATCCTGGATTTAGATTTGGAGGTTGTTGACACAACCTTATTAACACAGACAAATGTCTCCATCTTTACTTTTAATTTAACAACACTATAATGCACAAATGCTGCAGTTACTGAGACAAAGAACAGCAGGACTGATTAATTTTCACATAACAGTTCCATTGACAAGGGAAGATGTTCACAAGTGTTCAGGAAAGCTCTGGGCATGGAATGATTAAAACTAACAGAAAAAATATTCCAGTGAATACAGTCAAAAAGCAGTTCTTTAATTTTTACATTTGCACAGCAATAACAGAGACAAATGAGCCTCTGAAATATTTTGGAAAATGTCACTTTGCAAATCTTGTAGATTGCTTAAATGTTTATTAAAATGGACCAAAAGCCAAAATTCTCTGTGTAAAATAAATACTTTGTCTTTGCTAAGTAACAATATTTGCGAACAAAACATAAAACTGTAATTTTCATGTGTCAAACATAGTAACATTTAAGATTAAATGTTGGAGTCAGACTTGGCATTTTTTTTTCATCTTCCTATTTACAAGCTTCTCATTAAGATCATTTACCTCACATTAGCTATCAAAATGACTAACATTTTTAAAGTTTGCTCCATGACTAAAATGAAAACAACAGAAATGTCCTTTTACCATAACTTAACAAAAAGCAGAACCATACTTTTATCATCTAGGAGAACATGCTGTTATAAATACAGCTGGTTTTCATCTACAATTATATAAATAACAAGCATGCTGCCATTCACAAGGATTTTAATAGATGATTATATATAAGCAATATCATGGTCTCGAAGAGGATGGCATGAGTTTTTATCTTTCATTTTTATTGTACTTATTTAGGACCTTTGTCTTCATCTGAAAATTGTGGAACAGACTTCTTTGCTACAACATTATCCAGTCGCTGTCCTTGCAGATACGGGTTCACACTCTGAAAAAGTTTAAAATTATTTAAACTTATTAGAAACAGGGAAACAGATAAAAGATAACTAGGATTAGTAAACACGTTTATGTATTTCTTATCTGTCAGATATTTACAGACTTGGGAAAAAACTGCTTCCAGGGATTAAATCTAAAAGTCAATCAGTGTTTTGTATCTAATAATTATTTTTTGTGCAAGAATTTAATTCAATCCACTGAAACAAACACATGTGAAGGAGGACTATCAGGAATATAGAACGATCTGAATTAAACACTGTCTTTTTGCTCCACTCCTCCTTTCTTCAGAATTGCTGCTGCTTCTCTGCTGGGCTATCTCCCTAATTCTTGAGGCAGGACAGAACTTGTTAGAGAAGTACAGGCAAGCTTTGGCTCAAATCACTATCCCCTGATGGACATTGTGCTGGGGTACAAACTAGAGACCACAATACCATTTTGACCAAAGCCTCTTGTTCAGCCTGTCTCCTCTCCAGGAAACCCCTCCTTGCTTCCTCTCTTGATGCTGAGATAAAAATCTGCTGGCAAAGAAGCAGAGCCAAACAAGGGTTTGGCATAGAAAATGGCTCTCACAGCACTGCCAGAAAAAGGGAATGCTGGAAAGAAGATTCCTGGAGAGGGTTTAACTTCACTTTGCACCATGCAAGCAGCACAATGTGAGGCTGAAGATGAACAGATCCTGTCTCAAAACTGCTTGGAGAACATAGATGGAGTAATGTAGACAGCCTGGGCTTGAATTTTATCTGTACCAATGGAATAAAACGTATTTGCAAGTGGCAAGCATTCAGTATTAAGTATCATTTACACCTGCTTTCTGGCCTATCACAGTGTCAGTGTAAGCAAAATTCAAGTGTATATTGTCTCCTTCACACAGCTAAAATCAAAAATTCTAGCATGAAGGTTTTTGATGCTAATAAAAACTCTTTGCCTAAGGACAAACTTCAGAGGAATGCAAATTTTCCAGTATCTCCTGATTCTTGTCAGGCTGACTGTGTCACAGAAATTACTTTTCTTGAAATATTTCTGTGCTTCTTTCACCAAAACTTCAGAGTAAAAAAAAAAAAAGAAGAAGAAAAAAAAAGGCATTCAAAATGGGCATGAAATATTTATTTTCAGCTATCCCAAGCATTTGTCAAATCTCTGGAAAACATTTGGGGTTTATCTATCTTCAAGTTTAAGCCCTTGGGTTTCTCCAGATTTGTGGAAGCTATCATTAATACTTAGTCATAGCACAGAGCAGCCCTTTTGCTTCCTTCTGTTGGGTTTTGGGTGTTTTGCCTGCTGCAAGTGAAAACATAGAACTATTAAGAACCAGAAATGAATGTGGAAAAATCTTTGAAAATAAACTAACTCCAATGGTTTAAATTGTTAGAAATAAGATGTATGTAAATTGGTTGTTTGTGTTTGTTTAAAGAAGTTCTGTTTAATGTTAATTTAGTGAAATTCAACTGTTGCATAAAATTCCAGGAATTATTTGAAGATTCCTGGGAAGATTAATTGGTCCTTTTTTGGAATGCTACTTGCTTGCTACTTTTTGAAAAAAAGTAGAAGAGAATGAGACTACATAAAATTTTGAATCCATCTTAACCGACAACAGAAAACACAAAATATAATGCAAAATACTTTAGCTGATTTGACTAAAATATGTTCAATCCCATGCAGCTGTGCAGAATTCAAAGTAATGCAAGTTCCCGAGCACCTCTGCACACAGCTCTGAGCCCGTGGCAACTTAGTGATCACAGAAGTGGTCCTGACACTTCTGGACAGGGCTGCCTGTAAAAAAGTTGTAAAAAATTGTAAAAAAGGGGAGAATTAAAATGAGATGTCACTGTACACCTCCTTGCAGTGCAAGTGCTGCAGAGGAGGCAGCACAGCAGCAGGTGGTGGGCACAGCCCTCTGCTCTGCACGCTGGCTGTGTGTGCACGCTCAGGGGTGCTTCCAGAGGCACACACAGAGACACAAATGCGATACAGACACACGAATATGCACACTTGCTCACATGCACTTTTCTAGACACCAGCAGCACCTCTGTGACTGGGTCACTGTGTCCCTGGACAGACACAGCAGGGTTACCACCTACACTGTTACACAGCACTTGTTTTACCTCAGATGGGGATGCAAAGATGTAAAAAAATCAATCTGTTGCCAGATCCCAAAACTGTGTCTGGGCAGAAAGGCATGGAGAAGTGGCAGGGAGCACAAAAGGCAGGAGGGGAATGCAGTGGGCTTTTTTGATTTCTAGGAAAACACACTCTGCCACTGACAGAGTTCTAGTTTACTCTTCTGCTGATAAAGTAGAAATTTTTGTTGTTCATTAAAGCATTAGTAATCATTACAGTATTACCCTAAAATAATTTAAATTCCAATGAATTTAGCATTAAGTGGCATGTTGATGCTAGGAAAATAAGTCTGCTGTAAAGCAATTCACCTTCAAAATTCTGGGCTACCCCTGGCCACAGGACTGTCAAGTGTCTTCAGCCAGTACTTCTTTTGTATCCAGTTATGTCAGTCAGCTCACAGAAAGAAAATATCCTTTTTTTCTTTTGTCCCCTCATGTATATGTTGCATGAATTCCACTTTAACATGCTGTTCTAGCTATTAGTAAATATTCTGCTAAACTATTTCCAGAGTAAATTCTACTTACTTAAAAACTACCTTAAAAAAAAGGGGTGCCTACCCGTTTTTACTTTTCAACTAAGAAACTCAAAAATCAAATGTAAGCATGAAGCAGATACTAAGCTCAGGTCAGATCTTCAACTTATGGTTGAAGTGTCAATTGCCAGTGATGTCTGAATCGGGAAGAAATCAACTCATCTTCTCCCTTTCTAGCAAAGACTTAAAGTTTGAGAGTTAATAAATAAATCATCTTCACTTATGCTTGTTATTTTAAATTATATTTACTTCATTTACAATATCAACTGTGCTGTCATATTTTGAAAAGCTACTTTCTGGCAGAGAGTTAGACTTTTCCTTTTTGTAAAAATAATACATCATCAGCACAGCTAAAGATGTTGACTCTTCCTGAAAGTGATTTTTTTTTAATTTTAATAAAAGAAAGGCTGACACTACCAAAAAAGAGAGAGTAATGAGGCAGACTGTGCAGAATCTCTCTCTGTGCGTTGCCTTTCTTATTACAGGAGAAGAATATTAAGAACCCTTTCATCTTTGTCTTTTAAACAAGTGGGACACAGGGATAGGAGTTTCATCTGAGGTAAACCTTTAGTGTTACTTACACACAAAAACATTCACACACATGGGTGGGTAGTGGTAATTAAATTTACTAATATTTTTAGTAGGAATTTTCAAATTCTGTTTTAGAGATATTTAAATAATTTTAAATGGTTGTAAGCAAATAAAATCAATTTTAAAAGACAGATAATATTAAGTTTGATAATGTTCTACACTTAAGTGTATCTTCTGAAAGAGGCTATTTTGAGAAATAAATCTCGTACCCAGTACTCAGTCCTGAAGCTGGCTATAGTAGTTTATCACAGAGAGTACCTGACTTTATACATAATCTAAAGTATAATACAAATGCATTAGACTATCTCCTAATTTCAACAACATGGTTTTAATTTTTATTAGGTCTCTAGATTATATTGGGACTATGAAATATTCCGATAGTTACCCTCTTTCTTCTTTTTGGACCACCATTGATTTTCTCAAAGAGTAAACTCTTGCTCTGGAAGGGAAAAAAAAAAAACAACACAGCCATCAAATCCATTACACTCTTCTTTTAAAATACTATTTCTGCAATCAAATATTATCAAGTCTAGAGGAGTGTGTAGTTTTATGGGAGAAATAAGCCACAAGTAAGTATTTGTGTATTCCTACTAATATTTGCAGTTCTTCAGGAGCAGTCACAGCCTTATCAACAATTTTAAAGCCAGTATTTTTCCACTATTTTATCCCCCGTGTTCAGGAAATAAGTGCTTCAAGTACGTGCTGTATAGTCTGGATGTTCCCCATCATGTGATACGTGGTATAAATAGATATATACTTTTTGATTTTTTAAGGAAAAGCAGAAGGAAAAATTAAAATAAGAATGTGAGAGAGAGAAAGCAGGAGTCCTGCCTCGGGTGTGTCTTTTATACATTTGAGGTGACACAAGAACAGGAGCAAAAAATACTTGCTTTACAAGGGATTTTCTAATTCCTTTTAAAAACAGAAATAGGCATCATTCCTACTGTTTTGTTGTCTTTGCTTATTCCCTTCCAGATATCAACACTTCCCAGTGCAAAGCTCTGCTGAAAGGAGTTCAGCGCCAACTCTTCCTTTGTTTAAGTAGTGCCCTCAATGAAGTTTCTAAAAACCATTTGGTCTATAACATTTTTAATGGCAAACCTTTTAAAAACTGCCAGAAACATCTTGGCAGAAGAGAAAGTTATGATGATGACAAAAGAAAAAAGAAAAACAAACCAACACAAAAAACCCCCTCTGACCATAGTTTACATAAGTGCATCCACATATTGTTGTATTTCTTATAAGTAGTGAATTCTAATAAAGTCTGGAATAACACACACATGTTCAACACATTTTGTTTCAATCCTGTGTTATGAAGAAAATCAAAACCAAGCCCTAACCTGAAAATGGAAGGAGAGAAGAATCACATGTATAAAAGCAGAAGACTGTATAAACAAGCCCATTAATTCTGCTATAAACAACTGACCTAACATTGATTATATAAATAGAAAGTGTAACTCTAGCACGAGACAAATTCACCAAACACTTCTAGCTCTCTCTGCAGCCTTGATATGAGAAAAAACAAACATTTTCAAGTGTTACAATGAAATCTGCCAAAATTGTCTGTTTTGTACTTCTTGTGTTCATTAAACCTCGAATTCACAAGGCCTATCTCTTGTCCAACCCCAGTTATTTTGTCTGAGCTGCTCCAAAAGGGAACAGAGATGAAGCTGGCCAAGAGGGACATTCTTTGCTAGTCATTTATGTGAACTCACTTCAGGAAAACTTAAATTTAACATCTTAAAGAAACTCAAGTATGCATGAATTATTCTCCTTAGGAAACAAAGCACCATCAAAGCTTCTCTTTGTAAAGCATTTGACCTTATACTTCCACGAGAGGAGAAAGGGTGTTCCTGAAATAAAAAGAATTTCATGGACTACTGGAGCTAGCATTTCTGTCATTCTGAAAACTTCCTTACAATTGAACTGTTCCTTCTCAAGGAAACCATATTTTGTTTAGTCTGTCTGAGAATGTTTTAAGGCCCTAAGTACTACTGTAGCATTATGTGGAGTACAAAGCAAATATGGTTGCGGAGCATGAGCTCCACATATTTGTATGATAATAGCAATCCTGAAAGTATGTTCCACTGCGTAATGGCCTGACCTCATTAGCCACCAAAATCTGCCCGGGCAGTGTTCATCCTTCACTGAGAGGTTCTTAGGAATGAAGGCACAGAGTCTCCTCAGTTAAAGGTACACCTCATGTAGAGACATTTCTGCATGTGATTTTCTACTTTTCCCTCCCTCCTGGAGTTTCCTTTGCATCCTCTTGGCCACTTGGATTAGACTACTACAGGTTGGAATCTGGGAGGAAAAAAATCAGAAGTTAAAGTGCTTTCAACCAAGAAAATATGTAAGTGGATTCTAGATTTGATTGTAAATTGTACACTGTAAATTATCTTAGTGCAAGTGTTTCTGGGTTTAAACACTTAAAAGTGTTAAACCAGAAGTTTTTGCAAACTTCTTCAAGCCATCTAGAGAGCCAATCTGCAAGATGCAAGAAAGGCACACTCAGAAAGTGTCTGTGTCCTATAAGGAAAAAGTCTGAACCGGGGAAAAAACTCTGACATCTTAGAAACTATAGCTGTACACAAGGATAGAAAACTCCAAAAGTCACTCATCCTACTGTTTCCACTGTCCCCTCTATGTTTTCCACACATGAGAGGGGAGGAGAGCATAAGCTGTGGACTTCACTTTATAAACAGAGTCTGTTCCTGAGACTTCTGACTGGTCACCATATTGATATATGGGAAGTTGTCCCAAAGACAGAAAAATTCTTCACCCTTCTTCCCACTCCTAACCCAGTATATCTTTATTATGATTTATATGTTTGTACCTGCAGATGTATTAGCAACATTTACACTTAATATTTAGCATCTACATAACTCTACACTTTGCTGCATGAGCCAGCTTCTAGACTTGCTTGACCCTTACAAAACGTGTCTCTTATTCACAGGATACTGCAGAGGCCCCACAGCTTTGCTGTGATGATGTCTGTCACCAAAACAAGCCAACCAACCTGTTTCTGTCCCAGCAGGATGAGCAGGTCCTTTTTATTTCTGACCTGCTAATGTAATTTGGGTTTTTCTGTGGTTACACTGAGGAATGCATGTTGGCTCCTGGAACGGACAAGTCACTGGGATCTGTAACGCTTCCTCACCCACACAGTGGTGAGAAAAGGCTGGGGAATTTTAGATGCTGGGGACAGCTGGAGGATGAGGATGCACACAGTTACCCATGGGCAGCCCACAGCCATCTGTGTTGGTCATTTACAACTTAATGCAGACAACAGTGAATGCCCTAAAAGATCTGATCTCCTTCAGCTCTGCTTCATAAGGTCTCAAACAGCTATTTTTCAGAGAACTTACCTGATTTTCCCAGAGAATTAAAAGTAACCAACCCAGCCACTAAAAGATACCACTGTATTTATCTTTTTATCATGTAGTAATATGCAAGTAGGAGATGATCAGGGCTATTCTCCTGGATCTGGGCAGAACATTTGCTCATGCACATGACCAGCTGTTTCATCTCTAATTAAAAGGACCTGGAGTTGGCTAAGATCTAGCAACTAGATCTGATTACTGTTTAGTACTGGAGAGTGTTTTAATCCATACATGAGCAGCTTTTTCTCCTGAGTTAGCAGTGATGGATGGAGCTACAAAAAGGCTCAGGATTCACTAATGATTTACTATCATTTATTAAGGATACATGTTGCTGATGACAACACAGTACGTATTGTTTTATTCTGAAATATTGCTATAGGCCAAAGATTTACAGAACTGCTTTTGTAGTATTCAGAATGGTATTATGAAAGCGAAGTACTCATGAATAGTAAGAAAACTAACAGCCTTATCTGGCATAAAAAAGAAAGTTCACCATCTGGTGTTTTTTAAATGAAAATTTTTGATGGTAATTACTTAGAATTCAACAAGTTTCCAGAATCTGGATTTTTGGCATGATTCTCTCCAGAAATTTAGCACTTGCATAAGTAATTAAGACTATAAATCTTACACTGGTTTGATTACGAAGACAAATCATTGTCTCAAAACTACGTCAGGAGAAGAGACTGCCAAGCATGTCCATTTATCGATATATGCTTGCAGAGCACTGGTTTAGTGCAATCTTAAGTGAAGTGTTATAACAATGTAAAATGAGATTTCATTATTTGCTCTACAAGCATAAATTATGATCATTGTTATTGTTTTCCTGGCGCCTGAAAATGGATTTGGGATTGGACATTTTAACTGATGTAATCCAAGATTAAGTGGCAGAGCTTTCTTTGGAGACTCTAGCCTGCAGAAATAGCCTAGCTGCAGTTATTAAAGTCCTTGTATGCTCAGAGCAAGATTTTTGCCCTTAGTGTAGCTCACTGTGTTCATTATATGTGATGTGTCAAATAGGTTTTTCAATATAATGCAGCTCATAACCTGACTAGAGGAAGAAGCAGCACCAAGTCCTCCAAAATCCTTAAGGTGGGGAGGATTCCTTAAAGCAAGGGGTCTGAGCCTAGATTTTTTAAGGTGATTTGAGCTGCTGAACTCTGTTTATCTGTATTTTCTTCCTATTTTTTATATATGTAGCTGAACAGCGAATAGTCACTGAACCTGGAAATTCTTTCACAATCAGGGACATCTTATGTTTTGAGATATTAATATCTGCACTAATTCTGGCTACATGCTCACTGTAGTTTGAAATGTGGTTTTTTTTGCATTTATCAAGCTGACATGTTTTGGGACAGGTAACAGAACAAGGATTTCTACTTTCTGTTTTTCTCAGGTGTCCATCAATCACAAGCACTATTTCTGTTTTACAGGGCAAGTCCACCTTTTTCGACAAGTCTCCCTTAGGGTGATAGTTTTTCCAGCATTAGGAACAATACTGTCCTCATGGTTTCATAGTGCCCCACACAGCAGACGATATCCAGTTCCACATGCAACAAAAATAAGCAAGAAGCATGTACTCACCCACTTGCCCCTGTTGGGATAGTCATGCTCTGGATCAAAAAGGTGTTGGTGCAGTTGGTATTCCCTGCTGAACTCTGCTGTGTCTGGGGTGTTTTCTAGACACCCATCATCAACTGCAAAAGAAAGCACTGTGTGCTTAGTAGCTTTGAAACACACAGTATATGCCACATTAATCAGCAAACTTCTTAAATGCAATTTAAAAAAACATAAAGAACTCGAAGACTAGAAAATACCAGGTTCTTTCTTCTCTTGAAACAAATTTTTCAGAATGTATTTATTTTTAAAAAACCCCAAATCCTCACAACTTAATGACAACTGAAGGAATTTCTTTTCCATGCTCTTTCCCTCCTTTATGTTTTTCTTTAAATTATTGCACTTGATTTTACCTAGAACTGAATCCTGTTCTGATTCAAAAGGGATATTATTTTCTTTTTTAAATGCTCACAAGTAGTTTTAGAAATGGTCAAGGCAGTACTTTTGGAGGTCATGGTTTAGCAGTGCTGTGAGCAAAGACAGAATTTCTTTCACTGAGTAGCTCCTCCTGGAGCTCCACTTCTGGTTTGCACTTTATTCAAAATGGCTGAAAACCATTTCTGCATCATAAGATCTCAAAAATGCTATGTAGCAGAAGTTCTATGATGAAAGCATTTCTGTAGGTTGGTAACTAATCCAATTGGTCCAGAAACCTCCTTTAACCACAAGGGATGGTTTTGTAGGCAGTGTGACATCAAGATATCCTTTTTAAAATCAACTTAAAATCTTTTTACCAAAATAAGTCATCTTTAGCTTAAACGAAGTTTCAGCAACTTGAGGTCAGAGTAGCTTTTTGGATAGAGTCTGCTCCTGGAGCTCCCACTGCTTTGCCAGCATGGGGAGCTTGCAGTCCAAGTTCCTTGCAGACATACCCGAGGAGATCCTACCAGCCAGGGCATGATGCTGGGCACTCAAACAGCTGCATCTGCCAGAGCACAGGCACTCCAGAGCACACACCTGTAGACTTCCCCTCTGTCCTTGTGTGTCATCATGTAAAAAGATTTGCAGATGGATTATCTTCTTCCCTCAGATGTGGGAAACAGTAAAAACTTAAAACTGAGTTGATTCAATGACCTGAGGAGGTTATTCTGAGTTCAACAGAACCAGCTTTCTCTCTTTTCTCATTGGGACCGGGAAAAAATAAAAATGCCAATAGAAAACGGGAAAACTCTTCATATCTAAGTAACTCAGAAACTATTAAAACATTTAGAAATCATTTCAGTCTCAGCAGGGACAAGGTTGTATCAAGAGAGAAACAGGTGACAACAGAAGTGTGGTAGACCTCAGAGCATTTGTGTCTTTTGGTAGAAAACACAAAGGGCAGCTGGACACATGGGTGTCCTCTATGACTGCTAATCCAGAAGTCTTCAGCTCAAGTGCTCCAGGCTTATGTATTCCTGCTGTGGAATGTGCATATGTAGACAGTGACTGGAAAAATTGTTTTCCATTAAGCAAATCCACAGACCTGATTGTGGAAGGCCTCTGGTAATTTGTATGCATAATACAGTCACCACTTGAATTTCCATTTAAGGCTCCGAAAAACATTTTACCCTAATCCTAGCTGATACTATCTTCACTCACAGCATACCTCTGACAGAGCCATTTATCTGAGCAGGCAGAACTTCCCTGCAAATTCCCCATGTTCAGATCTGACTGTATTAGCCTAGCTAACAACTTTTATTTCACCTAAGAAAGAAAAATTGAAGGGATTTTCAAAGACATTTCCCTGGATGCCATGTTTTCAATTTATTTATCTGATCATGACCAGAAGTCTAATGTGCAAGCAAGGAAGATAGAAAATCTGTGTGTGTGCTTGTGTTTGTGAGAAAATCTAAACCCATCATTTGCAGCTTATCAGACAACAGCTATAGTGAGCAAATTGGAAGATGAGGTATTATTTCAGAAAAGATGAAAGCATCATCACCAAATGGGCTGCAATAGAAAACAGTAAGGGAGGACTACCTGAAATTTTGTCAAATTTTTGAATGAAATGCAAAAAGACTCCACAAACCTTTTTATAACAAATATTATTTTTTGATTAATTCTAAGGTAGTCAGAATATTTTTAAATAAGAATACAGACAACTGTTCTGCATTATCCAAATAACATAAAAGAAGACTAAACAGAAAACATTTTGAAAGGATCTCTTAGCTCACAAATAAAAAATGAGAGAAAAATAGAGTCCAGCTCCCAAGGCAGCCAATGGGTGTTTTACTACTGCTCTCAGTACTGGAAGCCATTCCTTGGCTCAAAGAGCAGGAAGGAGATCCGTTCTCTCAGGCTGCGTGTCTATCGCGCGCACGCAGGGCTGTGTTAGCGACCCTGAGCCGCGGCCCCGCAGGGCTGGGCTCTGTGTGGCTGCAGCCTGGGGACACTCTCTGTGTCCCTGGCACCCCTGGCCGTGCTGCCCCTCTGCCAGGGCCAGCCTGCACACAGTGCCTCGGGGCACATCCACAGAGCTCTCTGCTTCTTGGCACAGATGTGCCCTCAGCGAGCTATAAAGACACATGGATTGGAGCCAAGGTATCTTAAATATTGACTCATGGTCTGGGTTGGAGATCAGGGCAGACAGTTTCATTCCTCTTGGCACAGTGAAAGTCTCTAAAATAAGGGTAAATCTCATCTGTACAGAATAACTTTTTTCAGGGGCCATCTTAAAAATGAACTCCCTCGGGAACGTGATGCTCTCATAAATCTCGCTATCTTCTCCTCTGAGGTCAAGATGATTTCTTCCACATGACTTTCTCCAGCATCATACAACAATAGAGGAGGTGCACATATTAATTAAAAAAAAATTTAAAAAGCTCAGTTGAAACATTGAAACACCCAATTTCTCAACAGTTCCTCTCCAAGGGTAGAGAATGAAAAATCCCTCATTTCTGATCATGGGCTGTACAGTGCTGAAAGACAGGAAAATGTACAGTGAAGACAGAGGTACAAAGGCTACAGCTGAATTACCTGTTTTTCCAATAGGGCAGGGATTTGGAGGGTCAGGATATCCTTGATCTTCACTGAAATCCTTTGGTACGTTATCTCCTGTCAGCTCAGCCACGATGTTTGGGATATTGCCATAAGGACCCAAGTGCTGGAGACCCTCATGTGCACCACCTAGCAAAGACAATTTATGCTCAGTCTTTTTACAAGATTAAAAGTGTAAGCACTTAAGCTGGTGCAAGTAATCTAGACTTCAATTTAAAATACAATCTCTCTATATATATATGTATAATTGTTTTAGAGGCAAATCCAAGTTTAGATTGCAAGCATTTCTTTTAGAAACATAATTATGTGACCTAAATCCAGTAACTTAGATATTAAAAATGAAACTAGGAAACAAAATTGGCCACATATTGTTAGTCTTATGGCTGTTTTTTCCTTAACTGTGAAAGTTTTAGGCAAGTAAATGCGAAGAAAAAGAAAAAATGAAACCTGATACCTTTAAAAGCACAATCATCTTCAGTCACTGATACTATTACTGTTCATTATAGCAACTAACAACAGAAGATATGGCAAGCATCATGGCAGGAACACAATGTTAATGATACTTTAAAAATAAATGCTACCTGCACAGCCCAGAAATACATTAATAAGTTAAGTCCCAAGGGGGCTTAAGATATTAATGTCCTTGGGGACCCAGGGTATTCCAGCAAATTAGCTTGTGTACACCTAGAAAAATTATTTTTAAATGAAACCAGTTCTTAAATGTAAATTTGCACTTCCTGTTGTAATGATGGAAAGTGGTGAAGAGTCCCTGCTGTTGATGGGAATTCTTGTTTACATATACCACCTCCACAGTAGTCAACCAAGCATCCCAGCCAGTGACTTCACACCTTTCCATATGAGACTACCTTTTCCCGTGGGCCCCAGAGCACCATCACTGCAGGGTTACAGCAGCAGTCTGAAGCAAGCTATGTAACCCAGTGGCAGAGGACACAACGATGGGGCTGCTGTGCTCGGGCAACTGCACCCAAAACTGGTGTGCTGTGGCCACCTCCCACCCACCTCAGCTTGCCTTTCACAAGAAGGGTCTTCCACTAAAGATCTGGGAACCAAGCTCAGGCCACTCTCTCTCTGTATGCCTCTCTACAAATAATTATCTGTCCCAGATCTTCTCTGCATGCCTTACTGGCCAAATGCATCCACAGGCTAAACCCCAGCTGCTTGTGGAGTTTTTTAAATACTATTGTACACTATTCTTTTGAATTTCAGACAAATAAAATGTTAGTTTCAAGCACGTTCTTTTTCTCTGAGAAAGAAGCCACCACACACACTGCAGCAATGGAGATGGTTGAGTGACAGCAAAGCAATATTTTTTTTAAACTCTATATAATGAGGGATAACAACATACAGTCAACATATAAATTCTACTAACAATGAATTGAGAGGAAAAGGAATTTGAACAATTGGAAAATATGAGTTAAAGAGTGAACGCAGACACAACTGCTTGGGTAAATAGCAAAATCACCATATTATCATTAAATAGTCTTATTTTAAATTTATATATTTTTCATAGATCCACAAGACGTGAATAAAGCCTCTGAACATGAAAGTTGCTCCAAAAGAATCATTCAAGTACTCCTGTCCCAAATTACAAATAAACATTACCAGCCTAAATCATCTTTTATACAGCCAAACATTGTAAGCTAACATAATCACTTGCAAAAATTGCTAACAGAAGGCACTCAAATACCAAATGTAAATTTTGTATTCATTTCTACATTTAGAAGCTGCAGTTGAGGCAAATTTTGCAAATTAATTTTGCAAATGATCATTGGATGTTGGCATTATGGTACTAGAAGCAAGTCAGTCTATAAGCACATGTATTTCCATTTTATTTGCACAATGGACTAAAATCCAATCAGTGTGCTAATTTTCCCCCTCAAGTACAAGTCTCTTATTCTTTAATGCAGTGTTGCAGAAAAGTTTTGCAGATACATAACAAATGTAAAACTACCTCCTGTAAAAAAATTACATCTCCATTTTCTGAGGGTTTTGCTTATAGCTGACCACAAGACCTGGTACTAAAACCAGAATAGCATTATACCTACTCTGAACTTTATTATACTTTTAGTCCATAGTCCACACAAAGATGACACTCGTAACACAATAATGTTATGGTGATGAGGTTAAAAAGAAATACAACACACATTTAATCTAATGTCATTTAATATAATGTCTAATATATAGCATCAAATACTTCTTTTGTCCCGAGTTCCTTCACATGAAGATTGATTACATATATGAACTTAAAAGCATCAGGTTATGATTCTGCTGTAAACTACAGAACCACATAATCAATACGTGTTTGAACATCCTGTATACAATGTGGTTCACTATGGGACAATCCATCAGATAGAAGCCTATCTGTGCTTGCATGTGGTGCAGACCTCTTGGCACCAAAGCTCCATCCATAAAGAAAACAGAGGTACTTAGCAGGCTCCAGTGTGCTATATATACATGTAAGTTTAAACCGACTGCCAAGAATTCCCTTGACTGAGTACAAACCAATCTTTTTATATTAATATAAAGGATTGTTTCCTTTAGGTATAAATGTCCAGGATCATTTGAGGGTTTCTCCTTTCTTTCCAAAAGAACTGCAGACAATAGCACCTGCTCTGGTGCCATAATTTAGCACGCTTGAGTGATTTAATAGCATCAGCAAAGCTCATTCCTTATAAACTCTGATAAATAGTGCACTCAGCAAAGACTACAATAATAAAAATGAAGTGCTATGAATATACAAAGTAGGGGTATTATGTACAGTAACTCTCATAAGTTGCATTAGTTTTGGTATTATAACATTACTGATTTAAAGAAACATATTAGGATTAAATACACTGCAGCTACCAAATCAAAATATTGGAATACAAACATATACAGTCAGCTACAAAAATAGCAGAAGATCAGTTTCTTGAACTTTGAGGCAGAGCCTCAAGAAAAAAAGACAAGGCAACTAAATACCAAGAAACTTTTCAGTTTCCTATCCAAAGGAATCACGAGAGACATCATTAAAGTATCGAACTTGGACTACCAAAAATCCAGAGAAGTACAGACAACACCCTTGTACTGAGAAAGTTAGATAAAACTATGTTTTTTTCATGTCTCCTTACTTATATGAACAGGCTTTTCTGTGCCACCTACTAGCAAAGAAAACACTTCAAAACAATCAGCTCTCTTTCACATGCAGGATTTCTGTGAGCATTTATTATTAGGTATTTCACATTCCTACAGGATAGAGGTTTAGTTCTCTGGGGCTAGGATCTCCATTGTCCTAAGTTTTGAATTTAATTTAAAATATATGCATATATGTAGTCTTCTAGCACTAGTCTTGAATTGTTGCAGGGTGGAAAACAAAAAAAGAACAATGCCACTCACCATTATTATAATTCTGGAAAAGTATTTTATCAGGTGATTTTAGTTAGAGATCCTTGGAATGATTAAGTTTAAAGTGTAGACATTTCAGCTCATTTCTTTGTGAGAGCAATGCTGTCTTTATGGGTTTCCCACCCATGCAGGCAACACAACCACTCCATTCTTGAGGGACAAAAAAAAAAAAAAAAAAAAAAAAAAAAAAAAAAAAGAAAGAAACAAGTAACATAAAGAGCAACTAAAACAAGTAACATAAAGAGCAACTACTTTCTTGCAAGCACTGAATATTTCCCTGATCATACACATCCAATGGAAATGCTGTTAGTCCACTGAAGTTTTAGCTGCTGCTACCCATCTATTAGTAGTGCAAAGCACAGTGAGAACAAATCTCTGGAGAGCAATCTTCCATGTCAAATACAAATTGGCAGTGCTCTGTCCCCCAAAAGAGTCAGTTTAAGAAAGTCAATGAGAATGGATTTTCAAGAGTGAAAAATTATTGCAGAACATTTAAAGAGAAACAAGAGGACAAATTTGCCTTTCAGTCTCATTTAAACCATTTCACATGTCAGAGTGAAGATAGTGTTACCCCAATTAAAAATTCAGAACAGAGGTAGTTTGGCCAATCTTAGCAGGGAGAAACAAAATAGGATGGATCATGAATATGTGTTGTGAGTAAATAAATCCCAAATCCCAAATTAAATCCCTTTACTTAGTGAGTCATACCAGGTACCTCAGAGTGTCCAAGCCCTTCACAGATTCACAGGGGAATCTTTTCCCTGAGCAGAAATCACATCTCTTCTCTTGACCTGTACAAACTCCACACAAACAAGAGCTGCAAGGGAAGCCTGTTATAGCTTATCCCATTTGCCCAAGGTTCCCAAGGGAGCAAACATAGATTAATGAGATGTAATACCATACTTCCTACTTTGCAAAATCTTTTGTTAATCTGGACTATTTGCTCTTATCACTGGGAAAAATCTTCAAGATTGTTTACAGTGTCTCCTCAACAAATCAGAGATACATCTTTTTCGTTTTACACTGTCAGCTTTCCATATTACCCTGCACTTTCATCCCCAGTCATCTTGCTGTATCTACATTTGTTGTGTTATTGTCACATTCAAAAGGAACATCTCCCCAAAGGCAGGTTTGACAGAATGTTTCCCAGTGCTCTTATATGTTAAACTGGGACATCATCGACTAACTTACTTTTTCTTCTGTTATCTGCAGGACCACACATCATGTGAACTCTCAAAAAATCCTGAATGCAGGAAATGAATTTACATTTTCCTTACCCTATCTAACACTTCTAAAGGCTTTACTTCCCCAATGCTGTAATTATTATTCTGCTAACTTCATCTTAGAGAGTCCTATCCTGTTTGCTCAAATCGATCAAGCGCAGGGAGTAAGAAGAACTGAAAAAATATATAAATGATCACATTTTGTCTATTCCACAGAAGCTGCTAAGTAAGAGAATAGGGAAGGAGAAAAGGCACAGGAGAACAAAGAATGGAAAAATGCAAACCTAGCCAACTTCCTTAACCATTCAAGAGCATGCCTCGAGAAACACAAAAACACTACAGCTATACATGCTCAGGCATCCCAGATTCCAGAGTCAGCTTGTCTTCTTAATGACACAAAGTTTCTTAAAACTATAAAGACTAATTTTCTATTTCTCTGCAGAGGGGCAATTTCTTCTAAAGCCTTAAGCACACACATCTCACAATTACTGACCTTGCTTTCAG